GGGTTGGTTTTGTTTTTTTTTTTTTTTTTGCGTGCTTTCGGGGGGGGGGGGTACTGCAGCACCATCCTGAACCGTACTATTTTTTTTGCGTGCGGGGGTACTGCATCACCAGCCTGAATACTAATGTATAGGTTTTTGTTTTTTTTTTGCGTGCTTTGGGGTAGAGGTGCGGAAACACTTGATGTAAATCACTCAGCAAGTTTGATTTATCACAAATTAATGGATCTCTAACACATCAAGTACGAAATCTGAATGAAAATGCATAATTCCATCATTATGACTATTTTCCTCTATAGCAACAAAACATAATAAATACTGCATACAACCGTTAATATATAGGATTGGTTTTGTGAATTTTTTTGCGTGCTTCGGGGGGTACTGCAGCACCATCCTGAAACCGTACCATTTTTTATTGGTTCTGTGTGTTTTTTTTTTTTTTTTTTTTTTTTTGCGTGATTCAGGGGTACTGTTCACCATCCTGAACCGTACCATTAATATATAGGATTGTTTTTTTTTTTTTTTTTTTTTTTTTTTTTTTGCGTGATTCAGGGGTACTGCAGCACCATCCTGAACCGTACCATTAATATATAGGATTGGTTTTGTGATTTTTTTTTGCGTGCTTCGGGGGGTACTGCACGCATCACCATCTGAAACGCATCATTTTAGGTTCGTGGTTTTTTTTTGGGTGTTTTAGGGGTACTGCATGCCATCCTAAAACGTATCCTTAATTAGGATTTGTTTTTTTGTGGTATTTACGTGCCCCTCCCCCTCCCCCCCCCTTATTAGTGGTCCATGTTTATGGAGGGTTTGCGTCTGATGTTTAATCAATGTTATTCTCTTTATTGATTGGTTTTGCTCTTTGCTTTTCTAATTGGCATTTCTGTTATCTCTATAATTCATCTTTACTATCTAGAAGCATTATCATTTCTCTTCACTATCATTTTGACTAAATATCTTTACTCCTATCTACATTAATTATATTTATTCTGATTTTTACCACCTTACCATTATCTTGCCTATTATCTTAACCGATTATTTTTTACTAATCATAATATCTATTATCTTGACTAATCACCTAATCTATCGTCTTTACCAATTAATTTATCCACCATCTTCACAAACTATTTTTACTAATTATCTTACATATCATCTTTATCAACTATCCTACTAATGTCTTTACTAATTATCCTTTCCGCTATCTTTACTAATTATCTTTACCAATTATCTAATACTTAAGTGTATCTCTACTTTCTCTTTCTTATCTGCTTTACTTTTATCTGTTTGTGCAATCCTCTTTCAACCATGTCTATCTATCTATCATCTATCTATTTAAACTTGGAGATGATGCAGATGATCTCCGTTCGATTTTAGGTCTCTGTCTGAGGTTTATGAATTCACGCAAAATTAATGATGTGTATGTATTAATTTGTGTAAATATATTTATCTGTGTATATGTAGAAATAAGTGTAACCATGTACGTATGCAAATCGGTATGTTGTATATATATATATATATTATATATATATATATATATATATATATATATATATATATATAGTTGTGTGTGTGTGTGTGTGTGTGTGTGTGTGTGTGTGTGTGTGTGTGTGTGTGTGTGTGTGTGTGTGTGTGTGTGTGTGTGTGTATACGCGTGTGTGTATATACACAAATATATATATGCTGGCCTTATTCCCCAAAATAATAAAGATATCTCTAGAAAATGAAAAGTTATTTATACCTCTCCTTGTAGCAAGGCTTATGCAATCAGAAACAAACACAAACAAAAAACAAAAAAGAAAAAAAGAAATAAAAAAAGAAAAGAAAGAAAAGAAAAAAAGGAAAAAAGAAAAGAAAAGAAAAGGAAAAAAAAGAAAGAAAAAAAGAAAAAAAAGAAAAGAAAGAAAAGAAAAAAAAAGAAAAAAAGAAAAAAGAAAAGAAAAGAAAAAGAAAAGAAAAGAAAAGAAAAAAAAAAAGAAAAAAAAAAAAGAAAAGAAGAAAAGAAAAAGAAAAAAAAAAAAATAAAATAAAATAAAATAATAAAGTAAAAGAAAAAAGAAAAAAAAAAAAGAAAAAGAAAGAAAAAGAAAAAAGAAAGAAAGAAAGAAAGAAAGAAAAAAAAAAAAAAAAAGTCACGAACACGCAAACTCCGCCCCCATCGACTTGTCTCATTAAACTCTCTTCTGAGCCAAAGAATCTGCAAGTCATCCTCGGGTCATCGTGTGCCGAGGTCATCGCAGTCATGACCGTCACAGCTGGTGGTCAGAGATGGACGACGGAGAGCTTGTGATTAGTCTGAGGTGACAGATTTGTTCCACGATCGCTGGTGGAACTAAGATGGAGGGGGGGGGGGTGGAGGGGAAGGTGGGGGTGTAGGGGGGTAAAGGTGGGGGGAGGGGAGTAAGGGGAGGGGTAGTGGAACTAAGATGGAGGGGGAGGGGTGGGGAGGGGGTAAAGGTGGGGGGGTAAAGGTGGGGGGGGGGAAGGGGAAGGGTGGGGGGGGGGG